TGAGACCTGAGATTTATTGATCAACTAAAACAGATAAACAAATAAATAAAAGATAATTATTGTTATTTCTAAAAAAAATTGAAGAAAATTGTTGATTATACTAAAACATTAAAACAGATTTTTTTATCTTAGAATTAATGCCTTTTGAGATTTTTGCTGAATGTATCATTTGATCTAATAAAATCTAGTACTAAAAAAAAATAATTATTATAAATAAAAAAAACCCCATTTAGTAATGTCACTGGACTATTTTAATGTGGGAGAGCGTATATAGTGGGTGGCAAATGAAATAGTTTTATTTATTTCAGAATGAAGTGAGGAATATGCTAACGGATAGCTTTGGTTTAATTGATTAAATGGATAATGTGGATTTTTACATAGGTCAAAACCTTTCATTTATTAACGAATTAATAATTAACAAATAGAACCCAAAATCTAAGATCGAAATCTAAAACCTAAAACTTCCAAAATAAATCTTCCCAAAAAAAATCCAAATCTCATCTTTTTATACATATTAATTACTTATACACTGCTTAAGCACAATTTTGACAGTATGTTTCATGTTAACCCTGATTCCTGTTTATGCTCGATTTCGAGTTTAAACATGAAATCGAGTTTAAACTGTATTCTAACCAAATAAGTACATGAAATGATTGTAATAAATAAATATAAATAATAAATATAAATAATAAATGTAATAATAAACAATATAAATAAATAAATAAAATAAATAATAAAATAAATAAATTGAATTGTGTAATGAATCACGTTATTCTGTTAACAGTAACATTAATTCAACTAAACCTTTTTTTAAAAAAAGCCATCTAAACTGATTATCACTTGTGTGATTGATTCAATCATTAACAAACAATTTCAGAATTATTGAAATTAATGCCATTCCAAAGGTGAAATAAAATAATAATTTTTTAAATATAATTAATTATATAGATAAAAAATAAACATGACTTAGCTTATTTAGTCCTTTCCTCATATGTGAATTCCTTTGTCCTCACATCCATCACAATGATTATTCAATACATTTGATGTCATCATTGACATAACAAACAATTTCATCACCTGGATAATAAATAATACCAAGATCATGAAAACTTTTAATAATGTGTGTCTACTCAGATCTCTGGGTTCATAAAAATAAATAAATAGGGAGGATCAAAAAAATATTTTCTCCCCAATGAATAATAAATCTGATGTTGATCACAGGTGTCAGATTTAATAAAAATTTCCTATCACAAACATGCAGGATGGCGCAATTAAGCACAATCAGCACCATGGAATTTTTTTTCTACAGGTGAAGTGGTCCTGAACAAGTTGGAAGGCTTTAGACAAAACTTTTCTTATCTTCCTCTCATATCAGGCTTGACTGTTACCATATGAGCACCAATTGTTAATGAGAATTGGCATTTGTGTGATGCTTGCTTTGTGTTATCACAACCAGTAGAAAGTTGGTGTCTGTAACTGATTCAAAATTTTCCAATCTATGAAAGTTGTTATCCCTGAATTCAAAGTTTTGAGTCCTGGATTGCTGTCTTGGTGGTGTACCTACTCACCAACAACCCTACCCCCATTTACTTAAATAACAAATTCAGTTGGTCAAATAAAAATTAGAGAGAAACAGAAAATTTATGAAAATGATTAATTAATAACATACCAAACAAAATCTGAACCATTTTATTTTACAGCTTTCCTCCTAACATCAGAGCCCAAATGCAATTTCAGGGTCACCAACCCCACTTTGAATTGCAAATTTCCTTTGAGTTGCAGATTCTCTTAATGTTCCTCCAGAGTTGCAACATCTTGGACACATATCCATCTTTACCTAGAGGTAGGATTGTTGCAAGCAATTTTTCGGCTAACTTGTCAGCCTTCTCTGGTCTGGGTGCTGTGAGAGAAGATAGTGAAAGTGTCCTTGACAATTGATGCAGTCTCAATAAACTCCAGGGCCATGTGGCCCCCCCCTGGAATTCTGTTGCATCATTGTATCATCGAGGAAATCTTGGTCAGTTTAGCCTTGTGTACATGAGGAACATGTGAGAATGACTGTAAGTGTTCAAGGTAGCATGCGTGCTTCAACGCCTGCCAATTTCCGATAATCAAACATTGCATATCGAATTTTTTCTTTTTCAACAGTCAATGCTGCCTTGACATCATCTTGTAATAAATATAATTGATTATGATTACAAAAAGCAAAATACCAATCATTTACTATCGATGAGAATCTTATAATTACCCAGCAAGATCTGCTCAGCATTTTGATTTCAATTAAAATATTTATAATAACTAAAAGACATCACATTATATCAATGCTCTGGTTAGTTATTAACACTTCTTTAGGAGAACCGCATTTTGTCATTATTAAAAAATAAATTGTTTACCAAAAAGAAAAAAAAAAATCAATCGCGTCAATCGCGTGATGATTGTGATGATAAATAATTAATATGGATGCATTTGTTGATCAACAAATTTTTTTTCTTGATTTTTTAAAAAAAAAATGCCTAATAACAATAAAAAGAATAACGAAAAAAAAAGAAAAGAAAATGGGCGTGAGGTAGTTTCTGGGTAAGTGTTTATCAAAAGAATGGTGGTGGTTATCATCACTCGTCGTTACTCTAGTTATTTTTAAAAGAATGGATTCTAAGATGTTTATCATCCAAACGACTGAAAAGTGTAAGTAAATCATACCTTCAAATTGCAAGACTGATTACTTTTTATGAAATTGTTATTTCAAAATAATGATGAATTTTCTATTGTGGATAGGATGACAATAAAGAAAATTTCATGGATCCAATTTTATTTGAAGTAAATATGACTTTGCTTTATCTCATAATATATAATTATTGGCAATTTGCATACAATATCTATTAAATCTGCTTCTTTTAGGAACTCAATCATTTAAACAAAAAACAAACATCAATTCGCAATACCTTTTTAAAAATACTTAATAAACAAAAATCTAAAGATACCAAATCAAATAAGACTATTTTTACCTCACTACCATTAAATAATATTATAGATGTCACTCAAATAGACAGGAATATTTTAAAATCAATATCTAATGATGAAATAACTAATGATGAAATAAATTGGTTAAATGATATCTTGAGGAAAAAAAAATGGAAGACAACACCAGAGTTCAAGGAATATTGCAACCAATTTCATGAAGATAATTGTGAACGTTCAATAGTGCCTTTATTAGCAAGGAAATCATTTGTATCTGGAAGATTTGATTCATTTATTAATGAAGGGCATGACATTGCTCAGGATATAATTAAACATTTGTAAGTTGTT